GTGTGGCGCGGCTGGGGCTCTGCTTGAAGGCCGGACGGCGGCGGGCCGGGGGGCGGCTGGAGGCGGCGAGCTAGAGCTCCTCAGCACACGCAGCCCGCTTTTCCTGCAGCGGCTGCAGCGGCGAAAATGGAGCGCAGCCAAGACCACAGCGACCCGCTGCTGAAGCGCACACCACGACAAGGGGCGGGGAACGTGCGCCCCTCCGCTCGCCTGTGGCAGGTAGTAGTGCCCGCCAGCACTGATGACTATGCCGCGCTCGTGGCCCTCCTGGTTTAGTCATGCATGCGGTAAGTGCAAAGGAGAAGATTATATCAGCGGCGCATGTCCCACCGATGACCACATGTCAGCAGGGGGCGGCACGCGGCGAGGGCCCATCATTTGTAAACCGTTGATGTACTCGGAGCAGCTGGGCTGCGTGCGTGCTCGCTGACTTGTTTTGTTGCAACAAAATGCGACGCTGCCCGCATCAGGGCAGAACGACGGCGGTGATCGCTGCGCGATTGCTTGGGCGTGTCGCGCGTGTCGTGCCGGTCCAAGGGCTTTGGTCAAAGGGCGGTCAAAGGACGGTCAAAGCACAGCCCCAGCGCACCTGCCGCTTCAGTGCATCCAGCCGCTGCTTGAATTCTCGGCTGGCCAAGTAAGTGCGGACCTGGCACCCGAGAAGGCAGCAGGAGGCGTGAGGCGGCAAGGGCAGGGCAAACGGAGCGGAGGTGGGTGGCTCCGCGAGCGGGGTGCGCGAGAGGCGACACAGGCTGGGCGCAGCGGCCAAGGATGTTACGATGCATCCCACAATTGAGCTACCCTGGGCCTGCAGCTGCCCCCAATCAACGGGAAGCCAGGTGCTGCTTTGGACCTGCCCTACAGGAGCTGCAGAGGTCGGCGCCTATCTCCATCGCGTCTGCTTAGCGGCGAAGGGGGGGGGGGGGTGATCCATCCAGCTCCCGCACCTTTTCCCTTGTGCTGTCTAAAGTTGCGTTTTTAGAAGTCGTGGTGTTGAGCCAGAAATTTCGCTGCGGCGGCCGCCTCTGCAAAAGGCAGTGGCGGCGGCACCGTGAACGGTTCATGCAGGGGCCGCTGTCTGGTGGCTGGTGTAGCCGAGGTGTGCGTGCCTCATGCTGGGCGCTGGGGTTGACCAAGGCTCCCAGCGCATGCATGCCGTGTCCGCATGCGATGTGAACGGCCATCCCCAACCGCCGCCGGCCTCGCCTGCGCCCCAGGCCGACAGAGGGGCGCGCGCCGGCGCGGCCGCGGTGGCGGGGGCTGGCGGGGAGGGGCGGGCAGGTGCAGCGGCGCCTCACCAGCTGCGGCGTCTTCAGGGCGACGTTTCTGATGTACTCGACCGCCGCCGCCTCCTTCTCATTGCTGACCAGGGGCTTCACGCCCCCGCCCGCCCCGCCGGCGCCGCTGCCGCGGGTGCTGCCAAGATCGGGTCGCCGCGCCATACCTGCTCCAGCTCGGCCGGCCCTCGTCAGCCCCGCGTTTGCGTTGAGCGGCGCCCCCAAGTCGTCCACGGCTTTGTGGACGTCCGCGCTCGTCCGCATGACATGCAGGAAGTTCACGGCGACCACCAAGGCGATGGCGACGGCGATCGCAATCGCCTTACTAGCGCGCACGCTGCTGCCGCCCGCTGGCAGGTATCGCAGCTTGCCCGCCGCACCGGGGCCCATCAGTACCGACGACAACGGCAGCCCTAGAATGTCAAGCCACCGTTTCAATCAGTGTTTGAGATGCCAGCGTGCCCTATGATGCAGTCTACACTTATTATGATCTGCAACGCAGCTGTGTTTGCAGTTGTATCGCAAAAGACACGCAATGGGCATAGCATATTATGAATTTTCTCTTAGCATTGCTGTTCCACAGCAGGGCGGCACCACGCACTTCGTGCGACACTCGGCCTTTTGCCAGAACCTTGGGCCTAAAACACTGCGAGAGATCATTCAAGGGTTCGTAAAAATCGATTGACACGCCTCAAATACCCGAACAGTGCGCCGCTGGCTGGTCGCAGGTGAATCAGTCAACCCCAGGGTCCTTTAGTCAACCGCCCTGGAGTGCCCCAAAGCCCACTCAAAGCGAGTTGAGGGCTGTACACGCGGTATTGCATGAACCTATCCATTAAATACCATAGGCAATACTTTGTGCAATGTGTGCAGCATGTGCTGCTCTCCCTTGGCTCACGCGCGGCCTAGGTCCTGGGCCCTGTGAGCAGCACATAAGAGTCCAGGCATCGAGCACAGCCTGTACGGAAGAGCTGGTCACGTGGCATGCTGCAAGGCTGTGACAGCGAAGGAAGTCTGCTGGCGCCTGCGCTGAGGCTGCATGAGCCGGTCCCGCTGCCCTGCATCGAGCGCGTGCAGGCGGGAGGAAGGCGGCGAGAGCGGCGGAGTCGCCCGTGCTCGCCTGGCTGTGGAACGGCTTGCGGCTGACGTGGATACGCCTGTGCTGCGCCTGACATTGCAGAGCTGCCGCACTGGCTGCGGGATGAGACAGGCGGCTGCGATGCAAAGGCAGGGCAACAGCAGCAGCAGCAGCAGCAGCAGCAGCAGCAGCAGCAGCAGCAGCAGCAGCAGCAGCAGCAGCAGCAGCAGCAGCAGCAGCAGCAGCAGCAGCAGTAGGCTTTCCAGAGGAGTATTACGGGGAAATGTCCACTGTGAGCGGCTCGCCCATTGATATGAAGCCCTTGATGGTGGATTTTGTCGCAGTCCTCTCCCGCAGCAACGAAGGCAGCATGCGTATCACTTGGCTTTTCACATCCTTGCTGCACAGGACCACCTGGTGAATCAGATGACACGTCACATGCAACACGCTCGTAAAACGCCACCAGACCGTGTCAGCAAATTGCAGGCAGCTGCTGCACACCAGCCGAGCGGGGTCATGTTCACAGGTAGTGCGGTGTGGTGTCTCGGCACCATGAGAAGCTGGGTTTTCCAGAAATTGTGGTCACATCCTGCCAGGAGCACAGTAGAATGAAACCACGTCAACTCAAACCCACTGCACTCGTGTGTGGCCTGAGCGCGCCCGGCGAGTCGTCCGCGTCATGACAGGCGTGACCGGGCAGCATCTGCACTGGCCAACACAGTATGGCACCCATCGCGACACCCATCCGGCATATGTACAGCGTCCTCGTCGTTCCACATTAGATACTTGGCGTTTCAACAACCCGACGAGCTCGTCGCGACAGAAGCAGATCTCACCTGTCGAGATCACCATGCTCTCCGCAGCCCGCCGCTCGCTCGTGGCCTCGGCAGCGCAGCAACTTAAGCTGGCTGGTTTTACTCGAAGCATGGCACTGTCGGGCGTGAAGGGCTTCGACGAGCACGAGTCGGCAGTGGAGAACCTGTACTTCAACAAGGTGTGCTGCAAGGAACTTTGGAATGCCAGTACGATCGTCTGCGCGCATACCGAGAGCTTGGCAGAGGCGCGTTGGGCTCGCCGCCACCCCTGCTGCGTTGTCCATGGCGCCGCAAACGAGAGAGCTTGCGACATGGCACATGCCATGGCGGCGCCCTCAGCATCCCGTTCTCCTCACAATCCTGTCCGTAGGAGGACGAGCGCATCCTGCGCAAGATCCTGGGCAAGGTGAAGAACCAGGCCGAGCAGGACGAGACCGCCAAGGCGCAGCACGCGGCGGCGGACGAGGCTGCGCTGCGCCAGATCCTCGCGAAGTACAGCGTGGCCGACCACGATATCAAGGCCCTCCTGCACTGGAAGCACGCCACCTATGTGAGCATTGAAAAAACCAACGCCTCTTTTCCGATCAGACACCCCTTGGGATGGCCGCCGGGCGTGGCAGAGCGCAGCTGCGGCGGTGGCGCCGGACTGGGCTTCCTAGCGTTTCTACCCTCGCTCGCTTGGGGCTCGATCGCGCGGCTTGGGGACGCACATCGTCTTCGCCCTGACAACACGCGACACCCCTCGACGCCGCCTCTCCTCCGCACTGCAGTGAGGGGACGCTACGCTTGGAGGGGCAGCCCGTCGGCGCCGGCAGCGGCACACGCGGACGCGAGCGAACTGCCGCGCCCGTTGCGGCGCCGGCCTCGCCAAGACGCCCCGGCGGGCCGGCCTGCACCCGGGGCCCCTCTCTCCGGGGCGGTCGGCTGCTTCCGCATTAGCAGGCATCAGCAGGTCGTGCTGCGCCCTGCTGCCAGCCTCGCTTGATCCCGACGGATGGGGTCGCGGTGGAGTGGCGCAGCCACCGGCGGCTGCGCCGTCATGCTTAAGAACCCCCTACCCCCCCCCCCTGGCTTGACATGCACCGAAGGACTTTCACACACCGCGGCATGTAGCATCGAATGCATCCGTTTCGCTCCCCGCGCGCCGCCGGCAGGCGAGGGGCGCCACTGGTGGCCTCCACCTGTGCGGCTGAGGCTGCCTCGTCCCCCACGAGCGGGCACGTATGTGATGCGTTGTCACACTTTTAGAATAGCTTGCCCAGTGTAACGCAGGGCCTGTTGAGCTCGTGAAACCCCTGGGTCCCTGGTCAGTCGCTTCACTCAATTAAACACATGTGCAAGGAGGTCTGGAGAACACATGATTGCGAGCCCAGGCCGATGGCTTTCTGGCTCGCAGCGGACAGCATTGCCAGCAATGGGATCAGCCAAAACAGGCACCAGATGAAGGGCAAGCGGACACCCACCAGTATGCGCCGCATGCAGCTGCGCTGCGAGGGAACGACAAACTCACACCCCCATTGGCAGGCCCTCCATCACCCTGCGGGAGGGCATATGCATGGGGGGAACCGGCGGCCCGCGGAGGGGCGTGGGCAGCTGATGGCCGCCACTACGGCACAACGATGGTTGGTACCGGTATGTGCTCTCAGCTGCCCTCCATGCACCTTATATGTTGCGGATGCTCCAATCAGTCCGTCCGCCCAGACCAGCGCGGGCCACGGACGGGCAGCGCGCTGCTCGGACGAACTGTTTCGGCGCTGTCGCAGGCAGCTTGAAGGCCCGTCAGTATCCCGCCCACACCGCCAGCGCACCCGCTGCCAGCACGCATCCGTCAGTCCTCATCCACGCCCCCGCGGCAGTTGCTGGCAGCAAGCGCCCGACGAGGCTCGCTCAAACCCCAAGCGGAAAACGCAGAGGCGCAGGCAGACCTGCACGCTGGCCGCAAGGCGATTGTAAGCCCCTTCGGAGCCCGAAAAGCCTGACAACACCCCTCCTACCTGCTGGCGGCCAAATACAGCTCCTCCAGCTCCTCAACCATCTCCTCCAGCACCAATTGGACGCTGTAGAACCGCACCTCAGAAGTCAGAGCCGCCGCGGCCGCCGCCGATGACGCGGCCGCCGCCCGCCGACTCTCCAGCTGCCGCTCCTCCGCCTCTGCCCGCCTGCTCGCCTCCCGGTCGTCCGCGCGCCGCCGCTCCTCCTGTCGCTGCCGCTGCCGCCGCTGGAGCTGCTCGGCGGCGAGGAGCATCCACGCGCCACCGGCCTCTGCGCTGCCAGCCGGCATGGATAGCGCCCGGGCGGGGTCGTCGGGCGAAGAGGCCGCCCCGTCGTGCCACGTCACCTCTGCCGCGGAGGGGCTGGCCGCGGCTGCGCGCACCCCCAGCGCGGGCGACGCGCCGGAGGCCGCCGCCGCGGCGGCCGCGGCCGCGGCCGCCGCAGCTGCTGCGCTCTCGGCTGGGGCAGAGGAGGCTAAGAAAGGGTCCTGGCCGCTGGGCGGTGCGGAGAGTGCGCTCGCGAGCTCGAGCGACGGCGGCGCGGCGGGGTCGAGGGGCAAGGCGGCCGCTGCTGGTGCGCCGCCGCCGCTGGCGCCGCCGCCGTTGCCCGGGGCCAGCTTGTTGCGCCGCAGGACGGCGCTAAGCAGCGACACCTGGGTAAAAGAGGGAGTGATTGGATTGTTGATTATGAAGGGGCGTATGAGTGCGTGCTGCATTGCCTGCCAGAAACAGTCCCCTCCTTGCAGGCGTGCTGGCCGTGGGGGTTTCGGCGTGTGTCAGCGAACGGAACGGCCGGCGACGCGCCCCAACCGGCAGCACGCACCTGCACGGGTCTGTCCGACGCGCGCGCCGCCGCCATCCGCCACTGCTGCGTCACCCGCGCCTCCGCCGCCGCGCCGCCGCCCCCGTCGCCGCCGCCGCCGCCGGCGCCCGACAGCAGCCCTGGCTGCAGCCACGTTTGGACAGTCCGGGGCAGGCAACTACCATCCTTTGTCACAAACGTCCCCGGCGCGTCCCGCGGGCCGGCCGGCGAGCCCAGCAAGCCGTCGAGGCCGCCCGCGGGCCCGAGGGTGAGGGAGGCGGCGCGAGCGGCGTGCTCCTGGAGCTCCCGCATCGGGCGCTTGGGCTTGGGGCGCGCGCGCGTCAGCTCCTCAACGACCGCGTCGCGCCCGGCGGTCGAGATGTCGAGAAGTCTGGGGGACACGATTGGTTTTGGGGAGGGGGTGAGGTCGATTTCTCCTCCCATGTGTGTGTTGTAACATCAGGGTGAATGACGGGTCAGCCGGAGGTCGGCTGGAAAGTGTGTGGGTGCTGGTGACGCTTCCGCCAGAGTAACCAAGGCTTGCGCAGCATGCAGACGAGGGCAGCTGGCCGGTGGAAAATGACGAGCCCCCGCACCCAGAAATGCCCGAACTGCACCCCCCCAAAATGCCGGTGCAGGACAAAACTTGCCCAGGTCCCGCCGCCTGTCCGCTTGCCCAGGCGCGCGTGCGCTTTGGCAGGCCGTTCCGCATGTTCTGGTCCCCATGTTGGGCTGTAAAACTCACAAACACGACCGCCGCTCTCAAAATCCACCATCACAAGCACCCACCCGTCCACCGAGCTCGAGAAAGCGCGCAGCTCGTCGACGCATATGTGGCGTTTTGAGGGGTACGCGTCCGCGACCGCCCTCAGGGCGCCGTCAAGGTGGGCGGCGATCGCGGCAAAGGTGTCGGGCGCCAGGCGCAGCTGCTGGGCCAGGGTGAACTCCGAGGACAGCTGGGGCGGGGCGGGCGGATGGGGAGGGCAGGAAAAACTATCAGATCGTTTCCCCTAAGTTGAGATATTCCTTGCTTGTAGGAGGTTATTAGGCGGCAGGATAGCTGAGGAGGGATGAAGTTTGGTTTGATGTTTAGGTGCCGGCGCTTGGGAGGAGCCCGTCGCGGTCATGGGCGCATGGCAAGGTGCGCTCTGCCTCCCTCTGAGACAGCGCAGAGTGACGTGCTTTGGGCGCGACAGGCTGGCTACACGATCGTGCATCGTCACACACACATGCATGCTTTTGCACACACAGGCATGCGCGAAGACGCCCCCCTCCTCCACCACACACACACACATTAGTGCACACACACGCACACTCACACTTGCACACACACACACACTTAAGCGTATGCCTGCCACCCACCACGTCCTCGTACGACAAGTGCAGCGTGTACAGCAGCCGCGCAAACCTCCGCACGCTGGTGCTCAGGGCCTCAAGCCCCTGCAGCGGCGGCCGCCACTGGGACGCCCCGGCCAGGCAGGCGCAGAGGGTGCGGCCCATGAACAGCGGCAGGACCAGGTGGTGGCCCCAGCTGCGGTCAACGTGGTCAAACATTGAGGTGAAAGATTGAGGCGGTGGGATCTGGGCGAACACACACGGACGAGAATCGTTTCAAGAAGGGTGATGAGGGCGCGGTGGCCGTGGATTAAGTAATGTGGTGGAGGGCGACGTAGAGGGTAGCGCCTGCTTTGGCTTGCGCGCGCGCGCGCGCACACACACACACACACACACACACACACAAACAGAGACTCTCTCTCTCGCTGTCACACACACACGCGGGGGCACACACACGCTCACATGCACATGCACACGCGCACACATACACACACACATGCTCGCGTGTGCCGAACGTGCACTGGGATGCACATGCCGTTGCAGCGGGCGCGCGGGCCGCAGCGGCGCCTTGACTAGCCCTAAAGCGCACGCGACACGGGGGCGCCCATCCCCCTCGGCCCCCACCAGTGGTGCAGGTAGAGCTCGTTTTGGCTGAGATCCAACAACTCCTTTAGCTTGAACACACACTGCCAATGCGAGAGTCCGAGGTTCATTGTGAGTCCAAGGGTGGTGAAGGTCGCAGGGAGGGAAGGTGTGACCGAAAGTGCGCACAAGTGTATTGTGTTTTGGGGGGTGGGGTGAGCGGGTAACATGTATGGCGACGGATGGAACACAGGCAAGCGCGCGTGAGGCGCCCAAGCCGCACCCATTGCTCAGACGCCGGCGGCCCCCATCCCGTCGCAGCGCCAGAGGTAATGTCACACAACAACGCCGCCCCCCGCCTCAGATCAGCCCACCCAGATCGGCGGACCCGCCTGCCCCAAGCTCACCGTGTAGACATCTGCAAGTGTTTTCTCATAATGCGCCTCGTGATCCTCCTCGCATCCCATATCATCGGCCGCGCCCCCGCCGGGCCCGCAACCCCCATTCCGCAGCCCCTGGTTTCGAAGCTCCCCTGCGGAACCCGCCGCCGCCGGCCGTCGGCCCGCGGCGGCCGGCTTCCAAGGCGAGGCAGCGCGCCCAGATGAGGCGGCCCGCGCGACGGCCACGGCGGCGGCTGCATCCGCCGGCCCGGAGCCGGCGACCGGGTCTTCCACATCAGCGTCGGGCAGCGGCATGTAGCCACCCCTCGCCCACCCCGCCGCCGCCGCCGGCCGCGCCACCACCGGCGCCGCGGCCGCGGGCAGCTTCGCGGCAGGCGGCGCCGCCGCCGCCTTCTGCTGCTTCTGCTGCAGCAAGGTCGGCCCCGCCTCGCTCTGTTCGCCGGCTGCGTCGCAAGGCGCCGCGCCGCGGCTCGGCGGCTTGCCGCCGGCAGCCTTGTGCGCGGCGGCGCGGTGGCGCGCGGCGGTGGCGACTGTGGCGTTCAGCTCAACCAGCAAGTTGATGAGTGTGCGCGACTCCCTGTGGTTGGCAAGTCAGGTGGGTGGGCGGGCGCCATCTCGGCCGGGCGATCCCACTGCATGTCAGCTGGGCGCCTCAGCGTCAGCTGGTGGGGCCAGCTCTGGGCGATGAATCTTGCATGGCGCAGCAGTGTGCCTGGAGAAGTCAGGAGTGTGGAACCTGGATGCAGCATGCTGCCCGGATCATATGCCAGCATCCTGTCGCCAGGTGGCGCCTGCCTGATGCTCTTTGCTGGGCCTGAGCCACACATAAACGCCTCTGTGCAAGCATGTATGGGAATGACAATCACAAATCGGCGACGTACTCCACCATACCTGAGGGCCCCTATGCAGGCTGATTTTGGGAGCACCAACACAGTCAGCGACATGATGACGAAGACCCCGATGATGATGCCGCTCGTGCGCAGCAGCGCCACCATGCTCGCGCCCCGCTGGGGGTGCGCACCAAACGTGACTGCAGGCGTCGGAACAACAGCAGGGGTGAGAGTGTCGAAGACAGCTGGCTCGCGCTGGTGGACTTGCAATCTGCGAGGGCTCATAGGGCCGAGGCACTGCCCACCCGCGAAGGCCAGCATTTGACAAGAGGGGCTCTTTGAACCCTCAAAACTCCCACACAGTCTGGCGCCAAAATCTACGCAATTCACCTGCCCGAATGCAGAACCTTAGACCCAGAGTATCATTGCATCACACCCCACCACGCGGCCGCACCAGCCACCCACCGAGGACAAACGTGATGACGAACAGCCGCATGGACTGATCCAGTTTGAATTTGTGTGACAGCCAGCACGACAGCACGCCCACCAGGGATGCCGCCGTGCAGAGGATGGGCATGTCCCAGGAATCTGGGGTCAGGGGGTTCTGCGGGCGGTGTTGAGTGTGCACAATGTGAGTGTGTGTGTGTGTATGTGTGTGTGTGCGTGTGCGTGTGTGTGCGCGCGCGCGTGTGCGCGCGTATTTATATGCTTGGGCGCTCGCACGCACACGTGTGTGGTTGCGCTCATGCATGCGTGCGTTCATGCATGTGTGCATGGATCTTCAAAACTTGCGTTGAAGGGATCTGGTGGGTGGTGTCAGGTTGTGCGGTAGCATCTGTGCCGTTGGGGTTGTCTCCCAGTCTGAAAGTCAGCCAAGATCGACCCCCAGCCGAACCCTAATCCCTGCCCTTGCTTGCCACACCCTCCCCTAACCCCGCACGCCCACCTGCACCACGTAGTCGTATATTACATAACCCATGAGACCCCCCAGGACTGTGCCAAGGGTGCGCTCTCCGCTCAGCTGGACGACCTTTGGGGGGGTTGAGAAATTGACGTGCACATTTGAAAGCATTGCACATGCACGTATGCTCCTGCACGTGTGTATGTGTGAGGATGTGAATGTGTCTGTGTGTGTTGTGTGTAAGTACATGTGTTTGTATATGTGTTTGTGTGGAATATCAAATGACGAGTGTGTGTCTAAGAGGCTGTTCACTGTATGCGTTAACCTGGCAGGCTCATATGCGCGACCACTGCTCGACGAGCGTGCACATCTGGCTGCAGTGGGTGCGCTCACCTTGCCAATCAAAGGGCTCGAAGCGACGACGGCGCTGCGGCCAGGGTTGTCAAAAAGCGCAGCAAGGGGGAAAGCGCTAAGCGTGGCATTGGCAGCTTGAGCACGGCAGGGGGCCCGGGTCGGGGGCAGCGGTGCGGTCGCGCCTGCCGCTGCTGCGGCAAGGCCGACAGCAGGAGCACACAGCGCGATGAGGGGCCGCATTCAAGGGCAACGGGCTCCACGCAGCCTAATCCAGGGACCAGCCAGGGAAGGTGGATGCAGGGGGCGCGTGTCGGCTCTCACCATGTCACTGCTCCCCAGTTGCACGACTGCCGCACCTCATCCCCCCAGACCTCCTTCTGTTCGTCTGGCGCAGGCGCCAGGGATTGCATGGGGCCAGAGAGGGATGGAGGAGGGGCTGGCGGCGCTTGGTGGTGGGTGAGGGATTGCAGATGCCTTTCCGGGGTGAGACAGCAGCGCGGCAGCATATGCTTTGCTGGGTATAGCCCATGCGCCCATGCATCAGGTCCACGTTGCGTCATGCGCCTCCAGCACAGGGCCCCCGGCTTCGCTACTCATGCAGCTGTCCGCACCAGTCAGCATCCAGAGCGTCGCCCCCGTGAAGGTGAAGAGCCATAGCGCGATAGACAGCCGCGCGGCGCGCCGCACCCAATCCGGGACGCTGCTGGTCCAGTGGTTGGGCATGGCGGCAGAGGGGCGCCGCAGCGTCAGGGGCTGCGAGCGCCTTGCCCGGGCAGCACGAGGTGCGGGCGCACGCGCCGCGCCGCTGACGCTAAGCTATATCCCGAAAATACGTCGGACGATCGGTTCTTGCGCCGTGGATCAAACAAATGGCGATGTGGGCTGAGCACGGGGATCCTGTGGGGGTTGTGTATGTCACTAGCAATTATGCGACCACTGCTGGGTGAGCAGAAGGAGGTCCGTAGCATGAAATTGCACAAAGCGATAGTTTGATCGTGATTGCGACTAAGAAGATTGCAAAAAGAGTTGCAATTAGATCACTCCAAAGGTTTCACGAGTTGGCCGTCCACGAACCGTGCAGATATAGTATGCTTGCAATGATGTAGGCCAGCACCTCTCAGCTCGCGCAGCCTGCCCGCGTTTGCGGCCGCATGCTGCCCGTGCTTCGCGGCGCTGTGAGCTCCAGGCGCCATACGCAACTGCGCGTGTGGGGACGCGCGGGCCTCTCTTCTTCCATCAGACGACCATGCCGCAGCAAATTGTGCTGCATGTCGATGCTGATGCGTTCTTCTGCCAGGTGCGCACTTGCACGGCCGCAGTCACCCGCACGCACTGCGGGAGGGGGGCCATTCAGCATCGTGTCAGCAACGTTTGGAGGAGTCAAGGATAGCTCTAGATCAACGGCCGCCGCGATACCCAGCCGCGATACCCATCCTGAATTTCCGTCCAAACGCGTGTCGGCATGGTGGCTCCGCCGCACGCGCCGCAGGTTGAGGTGCTGCGCGACCCAAGTTTGGTGGGGAAGCCCCTGGCCATCCTGCAGCAGTACGTGAGCCCCCCCACCCGGTCCCCAGCACCAGACGGGACTCTTGCGGCCCGAATCGCCCAAGCGGCGGGCTGTCTGAAGCGCGCGTCGCTGGCCGCCAGCAGCCACGCCAACGCATGGAAGCTCTGGGCGTCTCGACCTGCACTCACCGTCGTTTCTGAGAAACCACCAGCCCGATTACGATGAAAACCTGACTAATCAAACCCAACAGGACGTCATCAGCGTCGACCATCAAGCAAGACGGCTGGGGGTGCAGAAGCACATGGTGCCTGCCCAGGTCAGACAGAGCCCGCGGGGCCAGCCTCAGTTACCAGAATGCGGGACACCCACCCCCACAGGGAGCTCTGCCTGCGACCGCCGCCGCGCCTTGCGCTGCCTGCCTGCCTGCGTGCCTGGCGGGACCAGCGTCGGCGGCGGCTGGCCCGGGGGGCAGCGCGCCCAATGCCGCGCGAGCAGGCCCTCGGCCAGCATGGCGCTGGCTTCTCACCTTCCCGTCATTGGGTGCCCCCTTGCTTGGTGGCCGACCACGCATCCTGAAGATGTCACATGGCTTGTGGCCGACCACGCATCCTGATGGCGGCACATGGCGTGTGGCTGGCCACACCTCCCTGACATGTCACACGGCTCCTCTCCCACCTCGACCCCGCAGGCAAGGGCGATATTGGAGCGCAACGGCGGCCGGTTGGTGCACGTCTTCTTGGAGGGCGGGAACAGGTGCGTTGGAGTGTGCAGGACAGCAATCAAGGGGAATATAGGGGGGCGAAGAGCAGGGCCGCCAAGCTGGCACAATAAGATTGGAACAAGAGGCATACACACTGGGACTCAAGTAGACTGGACGCTTATCCTGGCTCGTCCATTGCGCAAACTTCGGCTGCCGAGGCGACGTTTAAGTGACGCGTGCAGCGCGCCCACAGCCGGGCTGGGCGCTCAGAAACGCCCCACCCCTTTCAGCATGAGCACCATGGGGGCTCTGCGCCCGCTCGCCGTCCTCTGTTACCGCCACACCTGCTTCGTCACCCTCGTCACCCGGGCGCGTCATCTGCGCCGCAGGGTGTCCTACAGGCCGTACCGCGAGGCATCGGGCGCCCTGATGCGCCTGCTGCGGCGCTTCGTCAACGCGGGTGCGCTAGCGGGCTGGTTGAATGCAGGTCACCCATTCATTTGCCCACCATGAACACCATCACCACCAACACCATCACCACCACCACCACCACCACCTTCATTACCAAACCCCCATCTGCACCCAACCCACAAGCAGCCGTCCTCAGGGATGCCCTGTTGCAACACCCCTAGAACGCCCCTTTTACGCCCCCTTGACGCCCCCTTGACGCCCCCCGATTCCACACCTTTGCGGCACCGCGCAACCCCCCCAGCCGTCGTCGAGAAGGCCAGCATCGATGAAGCATACGTGCTGTGCCAAGCGCCCGCAGGGGTGAGCCCCTCCATGAGACTGGGGCCTTACCTGCAGTGGCAGCGGGGCACCAGGGCGCCCAAAGGTGTTCAATGAGCTCGGGATCACTGGCGGACCACGCAACCAGCCGCGGGACGTCGCGGCAAGACTTGCGCGCGGAACACGTGGGTTGGCCCCGGCAGCGGCCGCAACAAACACGTGGGGTTGCAGCGGACCAAACGGCCACGCATACCCCCGCACCCTCGCCGCGCAGATGCCCGCCGGCGGCGGCGGCGGCGGCGGCGGGCGGGGCGCGGGGGAGGAAGGTGAGGAGGCGGAGGCGTGGGACCTGTCCCCGGGCATCCGGCTGGGCAGCGCGATCCGGGACGCCAGCCGCGCGGAACTGGGCCTGGTGCTGAGCGTGGGCGTCGCCACTAACAAGCTCCTGGCGAAGCTGGTGCGATCCTTTGTTTAGAAGGGGCGAGAGGGGCCACCGACAGCTGGGCGTATGGGGCGGGGCCGCCAGCAGGCGGGGGTGGGCAAGCGTCTACATTTTAGATGGTAGTCGCTGTGCTGTGTTTGGGGGCGTTGACGCAGGGCGCGTCTTGACCCCTGAAACATCAGCCCAAGTCCTGGCCCCTCGTGAGGTAGGCAAGCTCACTCTTTCAGAATATGCAGCGCTCGATGAAGTCGACCAGGCATAATTGACACAGATTGCGCAACGCCACAATCAGAAGCCCCCTCGCTCCGTTCATTCGGCAGCTGTTCATTATCTTTAACCCAGCCGCCCCGCCCCCGCCCCCCGCAGGCCAGCCGCGCGGCCAAGCCCGACGGCCTGTTTGCGCTGGAGACGGCGGCTGCGGTGCGGCGGCTGCTTCAACAGACGTCGGTGGCGAGCCTGCCTGGTAGGCTTGAATGCTGCGCCGGGTCTGCCGCGCAGGGCCAAAGTTGGTTAGGAGTGAAACAGATCAACAGATGCGTGCTCTCGACTTGCAGTAGACGGCCGACCATTAGTTTTGGCAAGCAGAACCGCCACAATCCCAAACCTGAACCCTGGACGGACGTGGCATGGAATGATGACGTCATCATAGGTCTGGGCGGCCAGGTGGCGGGCGCGCTCGAGAAGGCAGGCCTGAAGGTTGCCACTGACTTAGCAAGGTGTGTGCCTTCGCACGCATACCACGCAATACGCCCTCTGAGTCTGCGACAGCAAAGTGCATGATTTACCAGGCGTGGCTCGTGCGTGCACGACGCGCTCGACCGGCGCCGCTCGGTCCCCACAGTGCCCGGCCCCGCACCGTCCCCACCTGCACACGCACGCACGCCCGTGCGCGCACGCATTGGCGCGCGTACCCTCAGGTGGCGCCCCGACGACCTGGCGTCCTCAGTTGGCGGCGGCGCCCTCGCCCCCGCGCTCGCGGCGCGGCTGGTGGGTTGGGGGCGCGGGCGGGACGACGGCCAAGTCATGGAGACGGGGCCAGCCAAGAGCATACAGGTGCGGTGGAACTCACTTTTATGCAGAGTTTGCTAAATGGGGAAGCAACCTAGCGGCCGCTAGGTCGTGGCAAACTTTGGTTGCTCCCCCTTATTGTTCTTGCAGTGCACCTGGTATCCTGGGTGCGACTTATGGCGGCAGAGAGCCTGGCTGCCTGCACCAGCCGCACGCCACTGCGGTGTCGAAGCGCGCAGCCGCAGGCCGCATGCCACTGCGCTGTTGCAGCGTTCGGACAGCAGGCCAAGTCGCCCCAGCAACCAGCCTGGCGGCTGCCACCTGCCCCTTCCCTGCGTTTGCTCTGTCCCCTTGACCTCTCCCCCTGCCTCTACGTGCCCCTCTTCCTCCCTACTTACCCCCTGTGTCCACCTGTATATCTCCCGCTCTTCTCCACGGTGTGTCTCGGCCTCTTATTTTTCTGTTGCCAACACCAACAGGTGCAGATGACTCTGACTTGGTACAACCTAGCCCCCCACTCCCGCCCCAACGGCGTCGGCCCCCCAC